TCCTACAACAGAAATTAAACAAGACTCAATATCAAATCTAAAATCCTAAATACAAGTATTTAACTTTCACTGCATATTTCAAACAAACAAACATGACGCCTTTAGTTACATGTACCTTGTTAAGCTGTTTCTCCATGGTTTTATAGCGAGTCAGGTCATGGGTTTGGCTCTTAAAGTCGCCCTGCATCAAATTTCTCCTCTGTATTTCCTGCTCTACTTGAAGGGAATAGTTTTTGGACTTGAAAATGAAAAAAATCGCAAGATTACTCAAAAACTATTTAAAACATCGAGTCCCATTTGCAGAAACACATCACTCCATTGCTTTGCAGAAAAGCAATGTTTGAGGAATTTCTAGCTAATTAAAAACTTAAATAAATTGTATGGCTATAATTTCAAATTCAAAACTTGATGTAAAATCTTCTTTTAAACCCTATACACTTCCCAGAACAATTTTATTTTTTTTATCATTCAGGACGTATCCTTACATATCATATCCATGGAAAGGGGAAGAAATTGTTATACACACTCAATTTTTTTTTCTTAAGTTAAAAAAACACTAAATGACAAATATTTTGAAAGAGAAAAAAACCCCAAACATATACTGTATGAAACGTAACAGTTAAGCATGACCAAATCATGGTCAAACAAGAACATAATCTAAAAATTTAATACTTTTCAGGAGAATTGGAACTAACTTACCTCCATCATATAACTGAATTGTTTTTTCTAGAATGAACAATTATCATGTAGCTGCCTCTATACTTAGTGAATTGTATTTTCTTGAGTGATCAATTATTAGGCAGCTGCCTAAAGATAAAGAGCTTCACTGTATCTACTACTATTAAAGTGAGTACCTTTTCTTTTTCATTTTTCAGCTCCCCCTGTACGGCCGTTACTTGTTGCGTCATCTGCAGCAGATCCACTTTCAGTTCCGATTTCTCTTTCTCGGCCTGTAGTAGCTGGTTTTCCACGGTAATGCGCGCCGCTTTCTCCTGGTCAAGCTTAACTTGGATGTCTGCAACAAACAAAATCTCCATCAAATGTCAGCCATTTATTTCATAAGTTAGAGAGCGCAATTGTTATTCTATATACACTACATGAACACTCTTTACTATTAATTTGACTAATTCCTGCTACATACAAGAAGAAGAATCTATTAAGTTTTCCTAATATATAAATACATTCAAAGATATACATCTTGACTACATATATTAGTCCCATCTTAGATCTTGGAGCAATGCTTTTTACAAATCTATGCAATTGTACAATTAATAAAGAATAGTGAGATATGAATCATCATCATGAATTCTCCCATCATATTGATGTCTTACCATTGATGGCTGAGGTCCTTGCCTCCTCTTTGGACAATAAGATGTCTTTTTTATCGGCGTTAAACCTTTTAATGGTCTCCTGGTGGTTGCCGATTTCCGTCTCTAGTTTCCTTTTATACGTCTCCAACTCCAATTCTACGTGGCTCTTACTCTGAGAAAAATCAAAGTACAATCACTTTGTAAATTCTCTAAAAACTACTTTAAAAATTTTATTCTGTTAACTTATATTCAAAGATTAAAAAATCAAAAATTCAAATTCACAAATTCTTTGACAATCAAATCTCTACCTTTATTTTAGAATAATCTTCTATGTGCACTTTTTTGTCATTTCTCAGAACAACTGAACAACTTTTAAATGCTTTTCGTCCCCTGTATTTGAACATCTGATAGTTTACCTTTTCTAATCGAATCACTGAGTCCTTGACCTTCTGAAGTTCATAGGTCAACTCCTTTTCCCGATCCTCAGATTTTCTCTTTTCTGACATTAATGATGAGATTCGATCTATAGAAATAAATATAAAGATCAGGATTTTACAACTACTTTTTTCATGTTAAACTCATGTTTCCACCAATAAATATAAATGGCCTCATTCTTCTGTTTTAAAGGCAGTATAAAACTAGTGTTGTCAAATCGGTTGAAAATTACAATCGATTAATCAGTAGCATCGGTTGACCCTAACCAACTGATCATCGGCCAATAATCTAATCGGTAACCCTTTGCATAAGATAGGATTAGATTTTATAAAATTTAGAAATTTCATTGTTAAATACTAGTAATGTAAGTTAAGGTGCATTGTACAGATCGAAATTCTAAAAACAGTATATATGCAGTTTGATTAACAATTTCAGTAATACAGATTTTTGCATGATTTTGAATTACTTGGGCTGGGGAAAGTTAGCATTGACAGATCAGGCTTTAATTTACATGATCATCTAAAATATATATATGGAATATTAATTTTTTTAACTGTTGTACGACATTTAATATTGCAAATCCTTGTGATTCTGAATGAAACATTGACAAGTTAATCCCCCCAAATACTGAAAACTAATTTATTTCATTTATACAACATATAGTTTAGTTTCTTCACTTTAGAAATACAAATATCATTATCTTTTGATTCATTTTAAACAGATTTTAAGTACATGTATTTAAAATAGTAAAGGACAACTCTTGGAAGATATATATTTTGATAACAAAAGCCTGTTCTTGAAATAAAAGTGAGGAAACTGTTAAAAAGATATGTGCTAAAATATACCGATTAATCGATTGTTAAAATCTCCAATCGATTGTCTAAAATCGACAGCCTTTCCGACCGATCATCGATTATAAATCGATCATCGTGACAACACTATATAAAACACATAAAATTTATATCAGGTGAAAGATTATGACAACTTCATCAACTGACCTGATAATTCTGACGTCTGTGAGGACACCTGTCGATTACTGCTCCGTTCATGTTCTAATGTCGACTGTAATTCTAGCACTTCTTTTTGTAAGGACTGTTTAGCACTTAGCACTTCATTGTACTTCATATTTAGCTCAGTGTAACTCTGTTCTGATATATTGTACCTCTACAAAAGTCAAAATTAATTTACAATGGTCATATCACCTTACTTACTCAATTTAAATTCTTATAGCATTTATTGTGAACAAATGATAATGTTATTCTAAATTCAAGTTTTTAAAAAATTTTATAATAATTTGATTTTTAGTTTAAATCATGCATATTTTCATTCAATTTATTTTTTGAAGTAATTATTATCTATGTGTTATAATGTTATCCTTATTCAGTGTAATTCTTAAAGTGATTCTCATTCAGATTTTCAGCAAAACATGTTCGCCTTTTTTAAAAATTTTTAATGTGGTACATTGTTAAGTAATTCTTAATCAATAAAATTCTTAAGGGTGCCTATAGGAAACACTCACCTGTTGTAATTCTGAACAAGATTTCTTGTATTTATTGGCACTCTCTGTCTCTGTTTTTATTTTCTCATTTAAATCTGATATCTGTTGAAAAAAGAATGAACCCTGAAATAATGTCAACAAATCACTTTCTTCCAAACAATTAGAAGACAAAAACAAAACCCATTGTTTAATCTCCTTTTAAAAATTTTCTTCAAGAAAGTGTGAATAAACAGTTTATATCATATTCTACATAGCCATTATTTTATTTCACTTAAATCTTGACATCAATTTCTCTACAGTGCAAATATTTTCCATTGTCCTGTTGATCACTGATCGAGACAGTCCCATTGAAGACTTACTACTTTCATTAGACTATAGATTTTTTTGTTGACCTGTTGACTGCTGATTGAAGCGGTCCCATTTAAGACTTGCCACTTTCTCCATACTGTAGATTTTTTTGATGACCTGTTTACCATGTAACACTAGTTACTTACCACTTTCTCCAGACTGTAGATTTTTTCGTTGACCTGTTGACCGTTTAACACTAGTTACTTACCACTTTCTCCAGACCGTATATTTTTTCATAACCTGTTTACCGTTTAACACTAGTTACTTACCATTTTCTCCAGACCATATATTTTTTCATAACCTGTTTACCATTAAACACTAGTTACTTACCACTTTCTCCAGACTGTAGATTTTGTTGACCTGTTGACTGCTGTTTGAAGCAGTCCCATTAAAGACTTACCAATTTCTCCAGACTGTATATTTTTTCATAACCTGTTTACCATGTAACACTAGTTACTAACCACTTTCTCCAGACTGTATATTTTTTCAAAATCTGTTTACCATTTAATACTAATTACTTACCACTTTCTCGTTGATATTTTCGTTGACCTGTTTACCGTTTAACACTAGTTACTTACCACTTTCTCCAGACTGTAGATTTTTTCGTTGACCTGCTGGCTGCTGTTTGAAGCTTCCTTACGAGATTTTATTTCAGCCTCCAACTGTTTCTCTTTGTCTTTCAGCATGGACTGCAGGTTCTTCTTCAGTTCCAGCTCCATGTTCAACTTCCTCTGGTTCTGTAAAACAAAATAGTCTCAGCTTAACTTGTGAAACATTTTATTTAACATTAATTTTTTTTCTTTCTGGGAATACTTTACCTTACCCATTTGAAACTTCTTATTTTGAGAACAGATACCACTATTACAAGAGGTGGTTTGAAATCTTGAGACCTCCTGTAAATCTCTTTGATCTTACCTCCTGTAAATCTCTTTGATCTTACCTCCTGATCATATTTGAATCTTTGATCTTACCTCTTGTAAATCACGTTTAAGGAAGACTAGATTTTTCTCCAGCTCTTGACAATCTTTCCTGAGGCGAGGTTCCTCCATATTAAGTCTTTCTAGATCAGACTGAGCCATTCTAAAACAAAATATTATAAACTATTTTGTTTCTTGTGTAACACATACATGTAGACATAAACCATTTTGTGAGCCTTTCAGTTAAGTTTTCAGGTAGGACTAATGGTAAAATACATTTTATAGATTTATAGGCAGATCAAATTTTCAAAATAGAGTAAAATCTAAAAAGATGTTTAATTGAATCAATCAAATTATTGAAAAAGCATCTACTTTCTGTTTCCCTGTCTCTACTTTCTGTTTCCCTGTCTCTACTTTCTCTTCATCTATATCTACTTTCTGTTTCCCTGTCTCTACTTTCTTTTTCCCTTTCTCTACTTTCTGTTTCCCTGTCTCTACTTTCTGTTCCCCAGTCCCTTCTTTCTGTTCCCCAGTCTCTACTTTCTGTTTCACTGTCTCTACTTTCTGTTTACCTGTATCTATTCTCCAGTTCCTCTTTAGCTGCTTTCAGTGAGCGGATCTGTTCCTCCATTTGTTTGAACCTTTTGTCTCCATCTCCCCCTCCTCCCTGTATAAATAACATAAACATCAGTAACCTAATATCAAAGTTCACTTGAATACTAATTAATATTTAAAAGTTACTAGTAGAAAAAAAGATAATTTTTACTACAGTATTTAGCATGTCTTTACTTACATCCATAGATGAAACCTGAAAGAGTAACAAAAACAAAATTTTAGCAAAAAATATGAGATATCAAAGTTTAAATAACCCAACCAAAACAGACTTCAGTAACCCAAATGTCTAACTCTACACAAGCATTCCGTACTCCTGATACCCACTACATCCTCAATGCATTCAGCTAACAATTAAATCTGAACATTTCAATCTAAGATCTACAGGTGTATACTTCATCATTCCAGTCTACCATCACATCATCTCATACAGAGTCTGACAGAGTCACAGAGAGGTGTGACATGAAATGTGATTTATCAGTATTACCCTCCTCAATACAGATTAACAATGTGCATATCATCAGTCAGTGCCAGGTGAATTAAACATACTAACTGTAAATGTATTTTTTTCCCTATATATTTAAAATTTTGTGGAATCACGATTTCTGTACAACCAAAGGGTGAAAAATGACTTGGATTTTTTTATAGCCATTCAATGATCTCTAAGTGTGCTGTGTTGTGATATACTTTAATGACATTTATTTTGCTTAAATTAATCCAAAATGGAACTGTTTTCCTAATTGTTCTCATTCTCTTCATTCCTACTGTGAGTTAATTTATTCAACAAATTGTCAATCTTGACTTGGTACATAATGTCCCATTTTTACCTAAGTTGACTATACATGTACATATGCTTAGTTCATTTACATGTACATGTATATAAACATCTTTACTATGACTCGATTCAACCATGATTATCCACAAGACACAGAATTAACACTGGTTGATAATTTGCCAGAAACCCAAAAGAAAGGTGCTAGGTGTGATCTAGTCTATATACAAGGCATTAACTTACTGGTTTAGTCTGATGATTCTGTAAAGTAAATGTCCAGTATTGTAACAGTAATGTTCTATACACATAATTACTACTACTAACAGTTAGTCTGATGATTCTGTAAAGTAAATGTCCAGTATTGTAACAGTCATGTTCTATACACATAATAACTACTACTAACAGTTAGTCTGATGATTCTGTAAAGTAAATGTCCAGTATTGTAACAGTCATGTTCTACACACATAATAACTACTACTAACAGTTAGTCTGATGATTCTGTAAGGTAAATGTCCAATATTGTAACAGTCATGTTCTATACACATAATAACTACAACTAACAGTTAGTCTGATGATTCTGTAAAGTAAATGTCCAGTATTGTAACAGTCATGTTCTACACACATAATAACTACAACTAACAGTTAGTCTGATGATTCTGTAAGGTAAATGTCCAATATTGTAACAGTCATGTTCTATACACATAATAACTACAACTAACAGTTAGTCTGATGATTCTGTAAGGTAAATGTCCAATATTGTAACAGTCATGTTCTATACACATAATAACTACTACTAACAGTTAGTCTGATGATTCTGTAAAGTAAATGTCCAGTATTGTAACAGTAATGTTCTATACACATAATTACTACTACTAACAGTTAGTCTGATGATTCTGTAAAGTAAATGTCCAGTATTGTAACAGTCATGTTCTATACACATAATTACTACTACTAACAGTTAGTCTGATGATTCTGTAAAGTAAATGTCCAGTATTGTAACAGTCATGTTCTACACACATAATAACTACTACTAACAGTTAGTCTGATGATTCTGTAAAGTAAATGTCCAGTATTGTAACAGTCATGTTCTATACACATAATAACTACTACTAACAGTTAGTCTGATGATTCTGTAAAGTAAATGTCCAATATTGTAACAGTCACGTTCTATACACATAATTACTACTACTAACAGTTAGTCTGATGATTCTGTAAAGTAAATGTCCAGTATTGTAACAGTCACGTTCTACACACATAATAACTACTACTAACAGTTAGTCTGATGATTCTGTAAGGTAAATGTCCAGTATTGTAACAGTCATGTTCTACACACATAATAACTACTACTAACAGTTAGTCTGATGATTCTGTAAAGTAAATGTCCAATATTGTAACAGTCATGTTCTATACACATAATAACTACTACTAACAGTTAGTCTGATGATTCTGTAAAGTAAATGTCCAATATTGTAACAGTCATGTTCTACACACATAATAACTACTACTAACAGTTAGTCTGATGATTCTGTAAAGTAAATGTCCAGTATTGTAACAGTCATGTTCTATACACATAATAACTACTACTAACAGTTAGTCTGATGATTCTGTAAAGTAAATGTCCAGTATTGTAACAGTCACGTTCTACACACATAATAACTACTACTAACAGTTAGTCTGATGATTCTGTAAAGTAAATGTCCAGTATTGTAACAGTCATGTTCTACACACATAATTACTACTACTAACAGTTAGTCTGATGATTCTGTAAAGTAAATGTCCAATATTGTAACAGTAATGTTCTATACACATAATAACTACTACTAACAGTTAGTCTGATGATTCTGTAAAGTAAATGTCCAGTATTGTAACAGTCACGTTCTACACACATAATAACTACTACTAACAGTTAGTCTGATGATTCTGTAAAGTAAATGTCCAGTATTGTAACAGTCACGTTCTATACACATAATAACTACTACTAACAGTTAGTCTGATGATTCTGTAAAGTAAATGTCCAGTATTGTAACAGTCACGTTCTATACACATAATAACTACTACTAACAGTTAGTCTGATGATTCTGTAAAGTAAATGTCCAATATTGTAACAGTCATGTTCTATACACATAATAACTACTACTAACAGTTAGTCTGATGATTCTGTAAGGTAAATGTCCAGTATTGTAACAGTCATGTTCTACACACATAATAACTACTACTAACAGTTAGTCTGATGATTCTGTAAAGTAAATGTCCAATATTGTAACAGTCATGTTCTATACACATAATAACTACTACTAACAGTTAGTCTGATGATTCTGTAAAGTAAATGTCCAGTATTGTAACAGTAATGTTCTATACACATAATTACTACTACTAACAGTTAGTCTGATGATTCTGTAAGGTAAATGTCCAATATTGTAACAGTCATGTTCTACACACATAATAACTACTACTAACAGTTAGTCTGATGATTCTGTAAAGTAAATGTCCAGTATTGTAACAGTCATGTTCTATACACATAATAACTACTACTAACAGTTAGTCTGATGATTCTGTAAAGTAAATGTCCAGTATTGTAACAGTCATGTTCTACACACATAATTACTACTACTAACAGTTAGTCTGATGATTCTGTAAAGTAAATGTCCAATATTGTAACAGTCATGTTCTATACACATAATTACTACTACTAACAGTTAGTCTGATGATTCTGTAAAGTAAATGTCCAATATTGTAACAGTAATGTTCTACACACATAATTACTACTACTAACAGTTAGTCTGATGATTCTGTAAAGTAAATGTCCAATATTGTAACAGTCATGTTCTATACACATAATAACTACTACTAACAGTTAGTCTGATGATTCTGTAAAGTAAATGTCCAGTATTGTAACAGTAATGTTCTATACACATAATTACTACTACTAACAGTTAGTCTGATGATTCTGTAAGGTAAATGTCCAATATTGTAACAGTAATGTTCTATACACATAATAACTACTACTAACAGTTAGTCTGATGATTCTGTAAAGTAGATGTCCAGTATTGTAACAGTCATGTTCTATACACATAATAACTACTACTAACAGTTAGTCTGATGATTCTGTAAAGTAAATGTCCAATATTGTAACAGTCATGTTCTACACACATAATAACTACTACTAACAGTTAGTCTGATGATTCTGTAAAGTAAATGTCCAGTATTGTAACAGTCATGTTCTACACATATAATAACTACTACTAACAGTTAGTCTGATGATTCTGTAAAGTAAATGTCCAATATTGTAACAGTCATGTTCTATACATATAATTACTACTACTAACAGTTAGTCTGATGATTCTGTAAAGTAAATGTCCAATATTGTAACAGTCATGTTCTATACACATAATTACTACTACTAACAGTTAGTCTGATGATTCTGTAAAGTAAATGTCCAATATTGTAACAGTAATGTTCTATACACATAATTACTACTACTAACAGTTAGTCTGATGATTCTGTAAAGTAAATGTCCAGTATTGTAACAGTCACGTTCTATACACATAATAACTACTACTAACAGTTAGTCTGATGATTCTGTAAAGTAAATGTCCAGTATTGTAACAGTCACGTTCTATACACATAATTACTACTACTAACAGTTAGTCTGATGATTCTGTAAAGTAAATGTCCAATATTGTAACAGTCATGTTCTATACACATAATTACTACTACTAACAGTTAGTCTGATGATTCTGTAAAGTAAATGTCCAATATTGTAACAGTAATGTTCTACACACATAATTACTACTACTAACAGTTAGTCTGATGATTCTGTAAAGTAAATGTCCAATATTGTAACAGTCATGTTCTATACACATAATAACTACTACTAACAGTTAGTCTGATGATTCTGTAAAGTAAATGTCCAGTATTGTAACAGTAATGTTCTATACACATAATTACTACTACTAACAGTTAGTCTGATGATTCTGTAAGGTAAATGTCCAATATTGTAACAGTAATGTTCTATACACATAATAACTACTACTAACAGTTAGTCTGATGATTCTGTAAAGTAAATGTCCAGTATTGTAACAGTCATGTTCTATACACATAATAACTACTACTAACAGTTAGTCTGATGATTCTGTAAAGTAAATGTCCAATATTGTAACAGTCACATTCTATACACATAATAACTACTACTAACAGTTAGTCTGATGATTCTGTAAAGTAAATGTCCAGTATTGTAACAGTCATGTTCTATACACATAATAACTACTACTAACAGTTAGTCTGATGATTCTGTAAAGTAAATGTCCAATATTGTAACAGTCACGTTCTATACACATAATAACTACTACTAACAGTTAGTCTGATGATTCTGTAAAGTAAATGTCCAGTATTGTAACAGTCATGTTCTATACACATAATAACTACAACTAACAGTTAGTCTGATGATTCTGTAAGGTAAATGTCCAGTATTGTAACAGTCATGTTCTATACACATAATTACTACTACTAACAGTTAGTCTGATGATTCTGTAAGGTAAATGTCCAATATTGTAACAGTAATGTTCTATACACATAATAACTACTACTAACAGTTAGTCTGATGATTCTGTAAAGTAAATGTCCAATATTGTAACAGTCACATTCTATACACATAATAACTACTACTAACAGTTAGTCTGATGATTCTGTAAAGTAAATGTCCAGTATTGTAACAGTCATGTTCTATACACATAATAACTACTACTAACAGTTAGTCTGATGATTCTGTAAAGTAAATGTCCAATATTGTAACAGTCACGTTCTATACACATAATAACTACTACTAACAGTTAGTCTGATGATTCTGTAAAGTAAATGTCCAGTATTGTAACAGTCATGTTCTATACACATAATAACTACTACTAACAGTTAGTCTGATGATTCTGTAAAGTAAATGTCCAATATTGTAACAGTCACGTTCTATACACATAATAACTACTACTAACAGTTAGTCTGATGATTCTGTAAAGTAAATGTCCAGTATTGTAACAGTCATGTTCTATACACATAATAACTACTACTAACAGTTAGTCTGATGATTCTGTAAGGTAAATGTCCAATATTGTAACAGTCACGTTCTACACACATAATAACTAGGGCTGGGACGATACAACTTTTTCTATATCGAAACGTATCACAATATTTGAGCCACGATACGATATGTATCACGATATGTTTAATTGCTTATAAAATCTGTTTTTGCAATGAAATAAACAAATTTTTCTTCGAAAGTAAGAATAATTTATTCAAAATAGTTGTTTATATGTTGTAAAACAAAAAATATTTTACTCAAGTGGTGTTAATTATTATTTATTTCACATCTATATTTATATTTATCTTATTTATTTTATATATTAAACCCCAAATGTTAAATAAACAAAGAAAAATAGAAGTAAGATTTTGGGGGGCGATAATTAGATATTTTTTCCTATGTATCGATATGCGTATCATCCTCACATTTATCACGATATATCGATATCTCGATATATCATCCCAGCCCTAATAATAACTACTACTAACATGTAAATAAACTAATACTTACACTGGGACCAGATTCAGATAGAAGCCTGAAAAGCAGAAAATCAAACATGATCAGCTAGAATGTGTACATACGTACAAGTTTCCAAAGTGACTTAACTTAAATGCTGTTAAATGATTCAACATATACATACTTGTTGAAATTTTAAAAATGCTGTTCATTGATGTTTATGTATATACATGTACGTACTGTTCATTGATGTTTAAGTATATACATGTACGTACTGTTAATTGATGTTTAAGTATATACATGTACGTACTGGTATTCTTTGTTGTAGGTGAAGCCGATGAATGGGAGATGGTTTCCAGCGAAAGCTTTAGGGACAGCAAACGATTCATCTGGGGTGTCATCTTTTTCTATGTCTTCAAAGTTACTGGTATCTACATCACTAGAAAGCTCAGGGACAACTGGGGGTGCAGCTACAATAAAGGAAACAGAGCTTAGAAAGAGAGCAGAATGTATCTGCATCACTAGAGAGCCCCAGGACAATTGGAGGTGCAGCTACAATAAAGATAACAGAACTAAAGAGAGAGCAAAATGTACACGGCAAAGCTAGAAAACAGCTAGGAGATCAGCTCAGAGACATCAAGCAACATGCATATAATATGTAATTCATCCATGTGTTCAGGCATTATTACAGCCACTAGTGATTAAATGCCAATCAGGAGAAATTACAGTAACCTTTTCTTAAAGTATTTCATGTCAAAAAAAAATAAAGGATAAAACAGCTAACTTGTAATGTGTTATTACGGTAACATAGTGTTAATGTATTTCATGTCAAAATAAAGGATAAAACAGCTAAGTTGTTATGTGTTATTACGGTATCAGTTGTAATGTCACTACCTTGTCTTAATGTATCCCATGTCCAGTCCGTGTTTCTGAAGAACTGATGTGTCTTTATTTCTTCTATTCCATTTCTTCCCAATCTCTCCGTTCTATAAAATTAATGAAAAATTAATATTTATTCTTGATGATATTTCAGCATGTTCAGTTGAAGAAGGTGATTATTCTCCTATTTAAAAGTAAAATCTTTAATAAGAATAGTTAAACTGATGTTTAGTGATAAAACATTCAATGTCTGTTGATGAATAATAATAGATTCCATGTCCCTGACCTGTCAGTAAGAAAGGCACAAATCAGACTTTTGGCTTCTTTTGAAATCTCAATGTCTGTGGGGAAACTGAGTGAGTTTTTGTGATCCATGATTTTTCCATATGTTCCTACCAGGGAATCTGCATAGAATGGGGTATCACCTAGGAAACAAAGCAACAGACTGATTTACATGTATATAACTCACTCTTACACACACATGCTCCTACAAATGCATTAATTCAGGATAAACCATTTAAAGATCTTTAACTTTAAATAAAATTTCTAAAATATATTCTTCATCAATTACGTTGTAAATATTGCCTTGTCAATCCTTTCATACTCAGTGAGAAGGTAACAACAGGTAATTAGGTCAGTTCAGGTAACAACAGGTAATTAGGTCAGTTCAGGTGCTACCAGACACAGGTGATACTTACCCACCAACATCTCAAACAGAAACACCCCCACCGACCACCAATCACACTCCCTCCCGTAAAAATTAGGTCGCCCCTGGGACTGAAGAACCTCGGGGGATATGTAGTCAGGAGTCCCTACGGCTGTATCAGACCTTACCATTCCACTGTTCTGTAAACAATCAATCAAAAATAAGTATGCAAGGAAAATTAATGTCAGCTCTCAACAATCAATTTGTTTGATGACATTATTGACTTACCTTATCCATCCTCATACAGGTCCCAAAATCTGCCAGCTTTAGATGACCCCCACTGTCCAGAAGCATATTATCTGGCTTCACGTCCCTATAAACAAAGTTATTAATTAACATATTGAACTTTACATCCATAGAAGCATAAAGCAAGTAACATCAGTCATATACACAGTATAGGCTGAACATCAATTTTCATTTTCAAACCCAGGATTGTTACAAGGAAAGAAAAAAAATTTTGAACACTTTTAAAAAGTACATGAATTTATTTTGAGTTTCAGTCTGGTGTTTCATATAAAGGTATTAAAATCCATTAATTCTGATGCATGTAAAGCCCCAATATTCATAGGTCATGTAGCTCAAATAAAGCTTATACTGACTGTTTTACCTTTTACAGAATCCTTTATAGTTTGGCTAGCTTACCTGTGAACAAAGCCCATGGAGTGAATTGCATCGAGAGCCAGGACCACTTCAGCACAGTAAAACTTGGCCCACTTCTCAGGCACATCGTAATTACTCATTAGGTTAACGAGGTCACCACCTGGCATATAGTCCATCACCATGTACAGGTATTTGGAATCTTGAAAGGCAAAGTGGAGCTACAACACAAAGTCAGTAGAGTCAATGTAGCGGTTCAACATCAGATTTATACTGCTTGAGGAAATGGAAAACTAAAACACAATCATGATAAAACAAAAATAAATTAATAATTCTATTTGATGGAGACTCAACATTGTTCCCAAAAAAGGCAATGTAGCTTAAGGGTGAAACGTTTACTGCATTTTGTAAACGTTTAAACGAACAGCAGCAAACAAAATGGTACAGTTTAAACGGGAGAATTTCATATGTTGAATTTTTATGGCTACTTACTCATGAAACACTATTTTGATAAACCATTCTTTCACTATAATGTAAGTATGAGTTGTCATTACTGTTTATTTGTTGGTTTTTATGACGAAAGAGTAGGAAGTGGCAAAAACTGAAACGAGATAGTAAGGTATAAAAATATAATGCGATAACATTGAGGGTTCCGGTTTATGTTCAATTTTTCAAAGCTCTATATTCAAAATTATACCGTTATAAGCATGATACTTTTTATTTTCTAATCAATAAAAAGCAACAACAGGGGTTATTTATTTTAGAACATATACTTGGAAAAATAAAATACCTCGCTAGTTTTCACTACTTGGAAATTGGAATTAAATATGTTAGACCATATTGGTTTCTAGATAGTTCTATTTAATATCACGTTTCCTGTATCGATTGTAACAGAAAAAAGTGTTTGTAACAGACACAGAGTGTTTTCTTTGGTAAATATGAAATAAAACAACTTGTCTGCAAGACGTTGATACTAACCTTCGTGTAAACGTTTACTCAATTTGTACACGTTTATAGCATTTAATCGAAACGTCGCCGTTTATACATGTAATCGTTTCACCCTTAAAGTAGCTTCAATATCAGTTCTATACAGTTATGCAAAAAATGGAAACAATTCAATCCTTATATTTGCATCTGAATTTGCCTGTTCAAATGACATCAAAACTTTTAAATGAAAATTGAGAGATCAGTCATTACTGTTTACATTTTGATTTTTTAAAATTTTGTATATGATGTTGTAATTTTCAATATTTGCAAAGTCAAAATAAAAACCATCACTTTCTAGTGTTAAATCTAGACCATAAAAAGGGCATAGTAATCAAGGAATCAAAAGGGCACTTTGTGTCGCGACAGGATCTCATGAGGGCACTTTTAAAATTTAAAATTATCTTAAACATTTATTAATTTTTACATACTTTAACATGTTTAATTACTTTTAATATATCCTTTCTTATTGAAATCTTTATTTAAACAAGTAACTGAAAGATGAATTCATATACATGTATGTCATTGTGTATTCCATACATTTCTTTTTTAAATACCAACACAATTAGCACACCTGGGGGTGACATGACAATTATTGAAACAAAACGAATATAATAAAAAAGGCATTTACATCCAATTTCTTTAATCAAAAAAGTAGTAATGTTACTCTTGAGAAAGTAATGGTATTATATAGCTGAAACATCTGCAAAAATTATTAAAGTTTGGAGGTATGATTATTTTTTTTAC